TACAATATATAGATAATGCTACAGAATTGTACGCCTGAAACCTATATAATTTTATTAACCAATGTCACCTCCAATGAATTCAATAAAAATAAAATAGAAAAAAATTACAAAAAGCTTATATATAAAATTTAAATTATAATAAATGTATGATTTTGTTGTTCTTTTTACCCCTATGAGCAGTAACAAATGAGTTACCCCTACTTCTTTTTGTAGGAGACGATTCACTTAACAAATGTCAAATGAATACTTCAAATAAGTAAGTTAGCTATCATACACATTTATGGTGTAAAACATATCACCTTCCTTGTGTAGGGAGAAAATTTTAAAAATAAAAATAAAAAAGATAGCCCAGCCAGTGTGGCTCAGAGGTTGACCGTTGACCCATGCACCAAGAGGTCATCGGTTCGTTTCCTGGTCAGGGCACATGCCCAGGCTGTGAGCCTGATCCTCAGTGAGGGGCAGCGTGCAGGAGGCGGCCAATCGATGTTCTCTCCTATCAATGTTTCTATCTCTTTCCCCCTCTCCCTTCCTCTCTTTCTAAAAATCAATAAAGGAAAAAAAAAAAGAAAAGAAAAGATAATTATACTAATGTGCAATGAGTAGTATTTAAAAGTACATTTAGATGTGTAGAAACTCTCCCAGGCACCCAATGAGAAAACCAGATCCCTTTGGCTGAGAAGCAAGGAAAGTTTCCACCAAATGCAAGAAACATTTCAGCTAACCCTTAAAAAATTAACCAAAATTGGCAAAATGTTAATGGGTGATGAGTAAATGGGTTTGTTTGTTTTTTAAACTATTTCACTATTTTTATATATTTAACATTTTCCTTCATAAGGTTTTTTAAGAGTTGGGGAACAATGAACATTTCAGGGGAAACAAGTCATACAGAACGATGTGTCTGAGGAAAGATACTAACTTTGAAATATGAACAAGCTATACTTATGTAGAAGAGCCGGGGGGAGGGCTGGAAAGGAACACAGCTGGAGGAAACCGGCTTCATTTCTCTCCCAGCTACCCAACTTCAGAGTGTTTACGTTTGAAACACTCATGAAAAATTAACCATATATTAAACAGACAATAGGGTTCACCATTTTCCAGAGAAAGATGGTAACTTCAAAATAAATTCTGTTGTCAAATGAAAAAATATACATTAGCCATATGTTAACTCTTTCCAAGACCTAAAATTATTCCAAATGCTCAAACGCATTCCTGTAAGTACACCATTAACAATGAAGGAGGACACTTCCTGCAGCATTGTAAGCCCATTTTGAATCATTCAAAAAACATTACATGGTAAATATAACCACATAAGAAACTATTGTTTAAAATTATCTGTCTACAAATTATTTAATAAATGATAGAGAAAACAATTTTAGAAATGCCAGAATTTAAACTAGAGCTCATTCTGAAATTTCATATATTACTTAACTAAGTATTAAGACAGGTATGCTTCATTCAAATCTAAAATGCCAAAGACTAAAACACTTTAAGCCTGGTGCATATAACTGGCTCTGGCTTCTCTATATCCTACTGCACTATTTAGTTCCACACAATTAATACTTTAGTATATAGTGTTACAGTCACCTAAACTCCAGACCAGTAGAAACAGTTGCTAGAAAGCAATGACACTGTCAAATACAAAGCCATTGATCTAGTGTGTCTGGGCCCAGGAGGTGGGAGGGCTGCATCTCTAGGTTCCAAAGAGTACAGGGGCAATCTAGAGAGAATGATAAATATCCTCGCACCTGGAATAGAGGAGAGTGTCATGAAAGGTAGTTGGAGAGGGAAGTGACATTCTACCTCACTCACTCCCATATTTTTTCTCCATCCTTAGTAAAGGAGTTTCTGGCAATAAAATGCTCTGTTAAGACAAATTCTTTGTATTACACTTTTTTTCTAATTGGTCTTGTTTTCTAAATGTTATATGCCTCCCCAACTGGTCCTTATATTGCTGTGGTACTAAAGCCACTAATAATATTTTAAAAGTCACCAACAATATATTTTTTTTAATTTATTTTTTCTTTATTGATTTTAGAGAGAGAGGAAGAAAGAGGAAGAGAGACAGAAACATAGATGAGAGAGAACATCAACTGGTTGCCTCCTGCACACCCCCCACTGGGGATCAGGCCCACAACCTGGGCATGTGCCCTGACCAGGAACTGAACTGGCAACCTCTTGGTGCATGGGTTGATGCTCAACCACTGAGCCACACCAGCCGGATTCACCAACAATACAGTAAACAACAAAACTAACAGCCTTTTCCGGGCCTTAATCTGATTAGAATCTGATCACTTTCTTCCCTCCCCTTTGTTAATAATGTACCATAAATTTCATTTTCGTATATGTGCTCCAAAGTTCTTTGTAATACCATAAGAGGGCAGACGCTATGTTCAAGCCAAAAAACACTGAGAGCCTCTACGTGGCAGGTAGTAAGACTACAAAAGATCAATAACATATGGTCCCTGTGATTTCTTCTTCTTCTTATGTCCACTACAGACTTTTCCACTGCAGATGGTCAATAAGTCTCTTAATTTAAGAATAATTGATTTAAGAAGTTTATAATGTTCTATTAACCAGCAAAGTCCATGCAAAGTAAGAACAGCTATGGCTAAAGCATGGAAAAGGGAGATATGTGAAATGTTTCCACATAATGTGCTTCCAGGGGGTGGGAGTGGGGGTTCAACACCTCATTCCCTATTTTAGGAGAATAAATGCATTTTGAGTTTTGCTATTTATAATTCCCACTTTTCCCTGCTATTCCTTTCATTTTTGTTGTTGTTGTTGTTCAGATACTGGGAGGGAGGGAGGGAGAGAGAGAGAGAGAGAAACATCCACGGGAAAGGGACACATCGAGTGGTCGCCACCCACGGACGGGGACAGACTGCAACCAAGGTACCTGCCCTTAGCGGAAACCGAACCCGGGTCTCTCTGGACCGCAGGCCGATGCTCTAACCCCTGACCCAAACCGGCCAGGGCTCCTTTCATTTTTATAAGCTGATCCCATAGCATAAAAAAAAAAAATCTGCCTTGGGACCTGGCCTACGGGTAGGTAGCTCATTAGGTTAGAGCATCATCCAGATACGCCAAGGTTTCAGGCTGGTTGGTGCATGTACAGGAATCCACCAATGAATGAACACATAAATAAGTGGAACAACAAATAGATCTATCTTTCTCTCTCTCCTCTCCCCTTTATCTCTCTCTCTAAAATAATCAATGAAATAAAATAAAATAAAATTTTTAATCTGCCTTGGAAAGCAAAACAGCTAATTACATTCAGGTGGTTGAAATTGGGATGGTGGTTATTTCTTCTTGAGAAGTTAGCAATCTTTTGTTCTGTTGATGGAGGGAAAGGAAGATTGAGTTTGCAGGCAAGAGTACTAGACTACTGGACACAACCTCAGTTGAAGCAGGAGGGAAAGGGCATCTTCTAGGGATGAGGGAGGCAGGTTTGAGTAAAAGGTCTGAGGACTCTAAAGATTTGAATTACTCTTTTAGGGGGACAAAGGCAGAGCTAAGGGCAAACAACAGAAATTAAGACCCATACCATTAGCAAAATGGATTAGAAATAAAAGAAAGTTAGAAATACAATAGCTGCTACTACCATTAATTGATCGTTGTCCATTATTACAAATCAGTTACAATACAGAACAAGAAGGGAAATGTGATACGCCAATAAGTGATGTTTCTAAATATAAAAGTACAGGAAATATTATTTAGAAACAAGCAAATAAACTAACATTTAAGTTTTGTTGTTGTTTCTAATGTTCACTAATGAAGTGAGGCTGTAAAAAACAGGACAGTCGGGAATAATGTGAAGATTAGAAGGCGAGAAGGGGGGGCATGAAACACTATTTGCCTACTTGAAGATGATTCCAATCTGGTGTTTGTTCACACAGTAATGAGTTCAAGGCACAGGGCAGTGTAGTAATGAGAACAGAGAAAGGCAAAAAGAATGTGATAAAGCTCTTCCCCCTTTAAAGTTCAGTTATCAGAAACCATGCCACAACCTCCCACGCGGGGGAGGGGGGAGGTTCACAAAGTCATTTGGAAAAGTGGCCAAGTCGACATTAAGAAAAGTTGGTCAAAGCCTCTGTGAAGTCATCACAACCAGAAACTACGTAAACAAAACCACATATTCAGAAGTCCTAACAGGCAAAAAATTAGCTTCAAAATGTACATATCCTGGAGATGATGTAAGAAATCACGGAAGTATTATCAGTAACACTATCAACTTGGTTATGACACATAATTACACAGGTCTTAAACCAGGGAATGCTAACATATGGGGCCAGAATGGCCCTGGGGCCAGAACAGGCTCTGGGAAAAAAACGGAACGAGTCTGATACGAAAAGCGTCTAATGTGCAGGGGGTAGTACAGCTACACCAAAGCAGCTCGAGTGTAAATCCGACGACCCGTACTGCCTCCGAGACAGGCCTTCCTGCCGAAATCACAAACACATTCTGACAAATGAGGTCCAGAAACCACAGCCTGCGCCGCAAATCGGATCTTTCCCTTGCCCTTCAGACAAGACACAACGTCGGAACTAGGCTACAGTGATGCAGGCCCGTTCCTAATTGTTTCGTGGAGGAGAAAAGTTCCAGGGAGCCGGAGGGGGGAGGGGGGACTTCAGATCACGGAAGTACAAAAAGAGTCGAATCCTGCTAATTTCCAGAACTTCCCACCACAACCCAACTCCCTCATTTCCCCTCCCCCTCTGCCCGCAACGCCTCCGCCTGGCCCAACCCCGCTTTTCTCGAATTCTGGCCAAGAACAATCCCCCTCCCCACCCACCCCGACTCTGATTCCTGGACTCAGTCTCCTCCCTCGAAGTTAGAGCACCCTAAAAAGAAGCTCCCCTATGCCTAGCCGCCCCACCCAACACCCCGTTTTCAGTCCCACCCCTCCCAGTAAACACTCTCTTCCTTACAAACTGCACCCCCACCTCCCGCTCATGCGCATTCCCCCCAGGGCCCTACCCTCCCGCCCCGCCCGTCCTTACCATGTACCAGGTCCCCAAGATGATCGTCCCGGTGCGGACATGGCAACAGCCGCAGCACCGGGTGCTGTAGAACCGGTCGCTGCGGCTCCGCTTGAAAGTCATGGACACCATTGGGAATCTCGCGGACCTTGTTCTTGGCCGGACACCTGACAAAGGCTTTCCGCCCAACGGATGAACCTAACTAGCTCTGTCACTGTGTCCAAAACCAAACGACGCGTCTTCAAGCCCGCCCCTAGTCCGGGCCCCAGCCAGCTGCTGTGCACATGCGCACTGAGGGCCCAGCGCTGCTCTCGCGCGACCTCGGTTTACCCTTCTTCTTCCACCTTCCTCTCACACAGGCCAATGGAAGAGCAGAAAGCTGGGTGGACTCGACCCCTGATTGGGACAACTTGGAGATTGACAAGACGTCACGCCCAATCAGAAGTGCAACTCGCCTCAGCTGTTGAGTGAGAGCAAGGGCTAGCTCAGAGGCCTAGGGTAGGTAGGCTGGGTGTAGCTTGGTAGGTCACCATCTCCCAGACGCGAGCAGCAAGAAAAAAAGTATTTAATATGAAAAGGGAGAGATGGGACGGGTAGCTGGAGGACTTTTCTGAGTGACGACGTTGCCACGTACTGCGGAGGCGTCACGGAAGGGCGGCTGCTCACGTGACCCCTGTGCGCAGCTTATTGGGCTGGCCGGGCGGTGCCTGTGCAGAGTGGGCGGGGCTAACCCTGGTCTTGGCCCTCCTCTTCGCTCTGGCGGAAATTGATTTCCTGGAGGAGGGAAAGATTTGGTTTCCTTTGTTCCTCACCCAGAACCTGGTTGGTGGGAGCAAAGAAACACTATGGGTTCCTGCCAAAGACAACTAAGAGGCCCGAGAATTGAGGATAGTACAAGAAGGATCAATGGGGAGGTCTGCTTACAGGGGAAATTGTAAACATTGAAATGGACCAAAAGGCCTGACTGGTGTGCTCAGTGGTTGAGCATGGGCCCATGCGTCACAGGGCCCCGGGTTCAGTTCCCGGTCAGGGCACGTGCCCAGCTTGTGGGCCCAGTCACCAGTGGGGGGCATGCAGGAGGCGGCCAATCAATGTTCTCTCATTGATGTTTCTCTCTCTCTCTTCCCCTTCCTTCCTCTCTCTCTCTAAAATCAATAATGAAGAATATTTTTTTAAATAAATAAAATAAAATTCAGACGTGTATTTGGCATTCAGTTTTTTTTGTTTTATTTTTAACATGTAAAATTAAGCTTATCCTGAATGGAATATTTGTTGCCAATGATAAAATTGGGCTTTCAAAGGAAAAAAAATAGAGAAAAATTATATCCACCATCATGAGCTTGATAACAATATTTTTCTGATGAGAATGGAGGTGAAATAAACTGATTTTTTTTATGTTGTAAAATGTCAGCATTTGAATATCTGCATAACTCAGTGAACCAACATTTCCCACGTTAACGATGCATAATGTTACAAAATGGATAGTAAAAGAACCAGTCAAAATACAAGGTAGACCAATAATTTTTACATTTGTTTTGTTAATCCTCACCCGAGGATATTTTTCTATTGATTTTTAGGTAGAGTGGAAGGGAGGGAGAGAGAGAAAGAGAAACATCAATGTGAGAGAGACACATCAATTGGTTGCCTCCTGTATGATCCCGACCAGGGCTAGGGATCGAACCTGCAACCCAGGTATGTTCCCTTGACCAGGAATCGAACCCACAACCCTTTGGACTGAGGACCAATGCTCTAACCGCTTAGCCAAACTGGTCAGGGTGACCAGTAATTTTTAATGTAACATTATGAAAAGTTCATTGATATGGTTTCATATTCTACATTGTAAATGACCACTTGCCACCTGGAAGGTTTGGATCAATGGTTGGAGCATCGAGCTGCGGACCAGAGAGTCCCGGGTTCAGTTCCTGCTAGGGGAACGAACCAAAAAAACAAACAAACAAGAAATTACCACTTGCTAAATTTTAGTGGAGAATCAAAGAGGAACAGCCACAAATATCTAAAAGGGCTATTAAATATCTAAAAGGCTTTTTTCCAACTACATATCTGTGTGCTGCTAAATTCTCTTTGTATATTTCAACCAAAAGAATATATCACAACAGATTGAATGCAAAAGCAGATGTGAGAAAATAAAAACAGAGCCCTGGCCGGTTTGGCTCAGCGGTTGGAGCAGCAGCCTGCGGACCAGAGAGTCCCAGGTTCGGTTCCTGCTAGGGGCACGTACCCTCCCCAAAAAAATAAAGAAATAAAAAGCAGATGTGAGAATCCAGCTACTTCTATCCAGCCACTCTTCTCATTACTTTTATAAATTTTATAAAATATAGTTCTTTTTCATAGATTATTTTATGTTAACATACAATGGATTTATTATTGTTATTTTTTTAACAATTTTTTTTCTTTATTGATTTTTAGAGAGAGAGGAAGGGAGGGGAAGAGAGAGACAGAAACATCGATGAGAGAAAACATCGATTGGCCGCCTCCTGCATGCCCCCTACTGGGGATCAGGCCCACAACCTGGGCATGTGCCCTGACTAGGAATCGAACCGGCGACCTCTTGATGCATAGGTCGGCCTTCAACCACTGAGCCACACCGGCCGGGTTATTCTTGTTATTTTTAAATCAATTTATAAATATTTTTAAATTATCTAAATTTTAATTTCTAATATGATAACTATCAATTGCTAAAACCCATGTAAATGAAAGCTCTTCGGTGCCCTCTATCATTTTTTTTTTAATTTATTTTTTAAAATATTTTTAAATCTTTATTGTTGAATGTATTACAGATGTTCCTCATTTTTCCCCCATTGACTTCCTCCTCCCCACTCCCGCCCCCCCTCCTGCCTTTTCCCACACTATTGTCTGTGTCCATTGGTTATGCATATAAATTCTTTGGTTTATTTCTTCCCACCCCCCAATCCCTTTCCCTTTGAGGTTTGTCAGTCTATCAGTGAATTTGTACTTCTTAATCCCTTCACCTTTTTCACCCTTGCCCCAACCCCCCTCCCATCTGGCAACCAATAAAATGTTCTCTGTATCTATGAGAATGTTTCTGTTTTGCCTGTTCATTTTGTTTGTAGATTCCATTGTCGATAGATATGTATTCATTGCCATTTTGTGTGTTCATATATTTCATCTTTTTCTTCAAAAAGACTCTTCAACATTTCATATAATAATGGTTTGGTGATGAACTCCTTTAACTTTTTCTTGTCTGGGAAACTCTTTATATGGCCGTCGATTCCAAATGACAGCTTTGCAGGATAGAGTAATCTTGGTTGTAGGTTCTTGGTTTTCATCACTCTGAATATTTCTTGCCACTCCCTTCTGGCCTGCAAAGTTTCTTTTGAGAAATCATTTTTAGAAGTGTAAAGGGTCCTGAGACCGAAGAGTTTGAGAACCACTAACCTAAGGCCTCAAATCACACAGTTGACAATGGTTTATGATATTTGAAGTGGAGACTTGGGGGTACTAAGAGCTGCCCTAAGCAGATTTTTTTTTTTTTTGAACAGAAGAGGAAAGTGAATTTAAGGTTTTCAAAATCCTTAATACTGTGGGTTTATACAACTCTCACAGTAACAGTTCGGATCACTGGCTAATCGGCGTTTGCCTGGACAAGAAGCCTCTTGTCTGAATCTGTTTTTTCACTTGTAAAATGGAAATAGGATTTGCTTCCTAATGAAGCTTTCATTTTTTTACTCTGATGAAAGCAGAAGGCAATCATGCCTTTAAATATTCCTTCCATGATTTAATTATTCATCTCTAGTCCCTCGAGGTATTTCTTGTCTGCTGATATTGGTAATTATCTCCTTTAGCCAAATTAAACATGTGGTTTTTATTTTTAATTGCTCCAAGGTATTGGAAGGAATAATTGGTAAATGTTGTCCAAGTATCTTGAAGATGAAAAGTACTATGTAATTATCACCATGGGAAAATTACTTTTCATGCACTTTGCTAAAATCACTACTTGGGCTGTGGAATTAAATTTTAACCTTAAGGCCCTGGCAGGTTTGGCTCAGCAGTTAATGTGTCAGCCTGTGAACCAAGGGGCCTCGGGTTCGATTCCAGGTCAAGGGCACGTACTTGAGTTACAGGTTTGATCCCGGCCCACGCTAGGGTGGTGCAGGAAGCAACCAGTCTATGTTTCTCTCTCCCTCCCTTCCTTTTTTTAACCTTAATGACTTCCGGTATGAGCATAGTGACATAGGTTGGCATCTTTCTGTTTCTTCTCCTTTAATCTTACAAAAGCATCAAGAAGAATGACAAATCAGTGAACTTGATGTTCAGCAAATCTGGGAGCAGATACCCATGGCCTTCAAAATACAAGCTGGGCTGCTAAGAGCAGCTGAGATCAGACAGAAGACATAAAGGAGGAGGCGAGAAAAAGACATGAAGCCCAAGCAACAGCAGAGTCTAGAACGCATCAGCAAACATAGTTCCTAAAGTGAGGGGTTCACGTAGAAGGGAGGGTATGAGCCTCCTCATGTCAAGGGATTTGGATGAGCAGAAATGGTCGCAATAGTCCTCTTGAAACCTGATCATAAAGTAGTTGAAGAAGTGTTCTACACAAATAATTAAATAGATAAATCATACACTTCCGTGTGCTAGGGCTCCCAACTGAGTGCCATAAACTGCATAGCTTAATTTGTCTCATTTCTGGTGGCCAGAAGTTTGAGATCAGGTGGTGGGACCACACAAAAACTCCATTTCCCCTTTCTGTGTGTCACTCTCTTCCTTAATCATTAAGCCCTTGGGTCATCAGATACTGATCAGGATCAAACTGTCCTAAGAACAAAGCCTCAGGCTTGTTGACCACAGAAACAGAACTTTGGTCAAACTAAAAATAACATCTTGATCTCAGTTGTGTTTCAGCCCCAGGCCCATGAAAGCTAACCACTCGGCCACACCGTTGCAAAACCAGACAGAACGACGCCATGGCTGACCGCAGGACCAGATGCGATGATCATCTACCCTCTACCCTAGTGTCAACCACCAGTAGATACTACAACCCTAACTCCACCATGACTAATATCTTTCCCATTGATTTTTTAGATAGAGTGAAAGGTAAGGAGGGAGAGAGAGAGAGAGAAACATCTGAGAGAGACACATCAATGGGCTGCCTCCTGCGTGACTCCAACTGGGTCCAGGATTGAACCTGCAACCCAGGTACATGCCCTTGGCTGGGAATTAAACCCACAACCCTTCCATCCATGGGCCAATGCTCTAACCACTGAGAAAAACTGGCCAAGACTGATTGATGGATTTTTAAAATTTGTTTCCAGTTTTTGCTGTTAG